TAGTTCTTTTTTTTGGAATTTCTTTTCTTTCTTGTTTTTTGGATCTGCCATTCTGATTCCAAGTCTTTATTCAGTTCTGAAACCACAGCTTCAGTAAGGGAGGCCACCTCCACTTTATCCACAGGTCCCTTGTATTCTTAGAAGACTCAATAGAATCCCTTAAGAGGACTTCAATTGAAAGGTTCCCACTTTCAGTTCTACCTGTCTCCACAATCTCTTTAACTGTTTCCCTCTTCTTAGCTAAAGGGGTCACTCCTGCTGTGGGTGAGTTGTCTGCGTTCTGTTAGGAGGATTTAGCCTGTAGCATTTCTCCCTTGTGTGGCCAAACATTTTACAATGTTGGCAGTAATAGGGCCTTTGCTCCATGACCACTTCCTGCCAAAAGCCCTTCAAGGAGTCTCCAATTCAAATCCTCTTAACTTCAGGTAGGGTAACATCTCTCTCCACCAGAATTCTGGCATTTGTTGGCCTTGCTTTGTTATAGGTAGCAACATCCACATTCAATGGTGTGCCTAACGTGCAGCCAATATTAAATAAAGCATTTAGTTTGAAAAGATGCAATAACAGTTTTAGTAACTTGAACCAAATTGGCACTGTAGGGGGTTTCTGAGAAGGGTCATACAAAGGAGTCCATTTTAAAATTTTCATTTCAGCACCAACAATAATTATTGATTGCTTAGCAAATATTCTTACATAGTCTTCTTCCTTTATCAGCTGGATAAGGAGGTGCCTGCCATCCAATAATCCTAGCTTCCAGTCAGCTATATTCAGAGATTCAAAGTAATTCCTCACAGAATCCACCTTTGGGTGACCCAGGCTAAATTTTCCAATAAGTGTGAACTAAACTTCCAAGTTCAGTTCAGCAAGGTCCTGTTCTGAGAAGATAGCAGCTGGTTCTCCATCCTTTGTGCCCACAGGATGGATGCATGGGGTAGTACCACTGCTAGCAGCAGTATTATGAAAATCCTGAGGAAACACTAGAAGATCTGGATCCACCAAGGGGGAAGAGGGTTTTCCTACAGCCCCAGCATAGGTTGCTTTTGTCCATTGCAGGTTTGTCTCCAAATCAATAGGAGTGGCCATAAAAAAAACACCACCAGCGCCCTACAAGGGTGCTCAACAAGTAGAGGAGAGAAGAAATCGTAAAAAGAACTTCAAACTTCCAAGCTTGTTCAACAGCAATGGAACAGTAAAAATAGCTCTAGCAAAGCCAAGCAGCTCGAAATGCCAAATCAACTTCTTGAAGCAAGAGCAAGCTTCTTCCCTTGGGATATCCATTCTAGCGACCAAAAATTTCTAATTTGATAACCTACATAGTGAAAAACGATCAAATTTGGAGCAAAAATGAAGAAGGAGTGCAACTGAAAAATGAAGAAGGTGTGCAAATGAAAATTGGCGCCTAAGCGCTCAAAACTGTGGCTTACGCGCCAGGATAACCAAGAATAACACACCTAAGCGCCAAGTACCTCGCACTTACGTGCCAGAGGTAGGTACTTGATGATTCAATGAATTTGAACAAATTTTTGAAGGGGTGTATGAAACAACTCTTGGTGAAAACGTGATTTATGGTTAATGAACACGAAATTACATTCAAATGCTATTGAAAGGAGGTAACTCTAGGAAGATTCATTGAATGTGGACATATTTTGAAGAGACACCAAAGCATGGTTTGAAAAATTATAAAAGAAGGACTTTGATTGAATGAAAAGCCCCCCCTCGAAAGACTCAATTAGCCGCCGACACCTCTCTCTCATAGATTAATTAAGATACTTTTAGAGAGAAGAAAGAGATGAGTTGTATTATGTTAGTAGAGAGTATTGTAAGAAAAAGGAAGAGAAGATATTCAAAGGAACTTCAAGATTTTGTGGAGAGAATTTGAGATAAGTTTTTATCTTTATGATTACATTTGGTTTTAATTTAGAATTCTTGTTTGTTTACATAATTTCTACTTTTAAACTAAGTATTTTTGTGTTTTCTATACGAATTCTGAGTAGTTTTCTTTATCTTTTTCCATAAAATGAAAAGTGATTAAGTGTTGGAAGGAAGTTGTGCGAAGTATTAGTCCTTAATGCTGGAATAAGTTGTGATGATTTCAAACCTTGGACTTCATTTACTTATTGATTTGGCCAATTAAGATGTTAATTTTATTGTGAGAACATGTAATATCTGACATGGTATTATCTCAATCAACTAATGATAAGATTCACATGTGATTGTATGAATGAGAATGTAATTCATATAGTTGAGAGCAAATAAATAGAGAAATAAACTTTGAAGGCTGTGGAGTTAGAGAAGATTAGAGTGACAAGCTAAACCCGTGAATTTGGTTTATTATTTTAGGTTTTGATACGAGATGTTAGCCCCCATGCGGAGGGAGATAAACTCTAGAGTGAGAGCTAGTATCTTCCCTACCTAGCCCGTCTTCAAGGCTATTTAAACTATAAATTAACCAATGTTCTTTATAGTATCTCTAGTAAGGGTAAGAAGTAATATTGTTCCTTTTTGACACAATACAATTTGAATACTTCCATAACATAATTCTTATGCTTGTTACCTATTCAAGATAAGGAAAAAGTTATTTTGTTTATATGGCCTTCATCTTACAAATATCTAGCTGAATTTAGTTAGTTTTCTATTTTATTTCAATTATAAAAATTACCAAAAAGAATTAAACTTTCATTCCTATGATAACATCTACATTTTGAGTAAGAATATTTTCAAAGTAGAGTTTGTTATCTAATTTTTTATTAATAGATAAAATTTCTATCTGTGGGTTTGATATTCGGGGCTCAATTGAAAATTCATATATTACTTGATAACGATATGTATACTTGCATAGTATCTCAATATTTAAATATATTGATTGCACTCTTATTTTCTTCGAATTTAGGTTCTTGGTGTTGTTGTAAAGAAAGAAATATAAATAGGAAGAATTGAGAATATAATCACACATAATTCGTAGTACTGTCATAAAAGTTTCGGGATCAGCTAACAACTAGCTTTAGTTTCTAAACATCTGAATCAAATTGAGGATTTTAGTTTGTCACCCTAAAATCTCCAATTCTACAACCATCAGAACATACTTCTCTATTTATTTGCGCTTAACCCCATGGACTACATTCTCATCCATGAGACTAAATGTGATTATTTCTATGTTGGAACATAGCCCATAACAATGGGTCACTATGTTTTTACAATAGATTATAACAAAACAATTGTTGGATTGACAAGTAAATTAAGTATAGAGTTTAAATCATCACAACTCATAAAATTTAAAAGCACTATATACGAAGCAACATTACTACACATAGTTATTCCTCATTTCGGGGAGAAAGACGAAGGAAACTACTAAAATCTCATGAGGAAAAAACAAAGACACATGGATTTATAGATAAATAGATGTTCACAAGACACAACTAAGTAAGAAAACAAAATACACGACTTATCTTTGACTACTTCACAAGAAATCCTTCTAGTTCCTTTGAATCACTTCCTCTCCTTACAATTTCATTCATATCTTACTTAGATTTGTAGTGAAGAAGATATCTCTCACTTCTCCACTTCTGCTACAAGTCCAAGAAATCTACAAGGCTTTTTTTTCTCTAGGAAGAAACCACTTCACTCTGAAAGACACATTTTCTTCAGTTTATTGCCTCCCGAAACTCTTGCCCAGAGCCTCTTTTCCAAATCCCCTCTCAAATTTCCAGAAGTTTTATAAATGGAGCTTTAAAAATCTCCAAAGGTTGCTTCAAGCCAGACTCTCTGTTGTTTGGCGCTTAGGCGCCAAATCTGGCACCCATGCGACATATCAACAATGACCTTCTTGCTTCAAATGACTCGAATTTGCTTGATTTTTGTTTCATTTGCTTCTTTTAGTATCCCTACACCCAAAAACATCAACATTACGTTTCATTAAAGCACAATATCTTTAAAAATATGCTTAAAATGTGTAGATAAATTCAACATATTTTAGGAAAGTCATTTACCGACTACACCAACTCAGCATAGTAGAACAAGCAAGCCTTGCCAAACCGAAGCCTATTAAGCTCATGCGATCGAGTAAGAAGGTAGCTGAACAACAAACTCATATATGTAAAATACCTAAAACAACCTATGACACTCCTTCTAAAGCTGGGACAAATACGTAACATCACATATTGTAACCATCATCAATAAATAGGAGAATCATTTTATGAGAAATGACTAATCGATAACACTGATTAATGTTAACATCTCTCTCTCCCCCTCCCTCCCGAGGTGTGATTCACTGTCATGTCTGGATTCAACAATACTTCTTTTCTCTCACCTTAATGCCATACCTATAGGAAAATTTACATGCATACCACCCAATTCTTATCTATTAACATAAATAACACCTAAAGTTTAATCTATATAATTATAATACTTTGGTGTCATAAATCTATGCTTGAAAGGGTGCATTTAACGTTTGAAAAGGTTGTGTTGATAATTTTTTTGATGTGTTACAGATTTACAAAGCATATATGTAAATATAAATATTTAGGTTTTGGATTTGTGAATACATAAGAATTGTGCTGTATGTATAAATGAATATAATTTAAAGTCGATTCAGATTGCCTTTATTGCCTCTGGAAAAAGTCGTGCGATTAGAATGTGGCTATACTAAAAGTAAAGTTCTAAATAATTTAGAGAGAGAAAGATAAGTTCTAACTTACAATTAGAACAGAAAGTTGATGCGGATTTATATTGAACTGTTAGCCTAACAAACACAATAATAAGCATAACAGATGGTTATAATTAATTAATGCGGGAATCAAGCTATAATTAATGTGATGCATGCATTTAATGTAAAAAAATTTATGGTTGGTACTATTTATGCTAAAAAAATCCATTTCTTACAATTGTCAATTCTTATTAAATTCTGGTTTTATTCTTATTGTTAATATTTTAATTTTAATAAATTCTAATTATGTACGATGGGTACAATTTTCATGGTTGTAGCGAGTGGTAGTGGGGGCGATTTCTTGGCACTATTGCAGCCGCTGTGGTATTAAAGCCTCAGGTCAGGTCGATGCCGGAAGGGAAGCCATTTCTGCTGCTTCGACGTCCGCTTATTATTTATCTCCCCTTCGTCCCTTCCAGCTCTGCTCGTGGATTCTTCCTCAATATTAAACTCTCCAAACTCCTCAGGTTCTTGTTCTTGAGGTCTCCAACTCCGAATCTGCCTCTTCCCTCCCTTCTTCTACCGTCTTCTACCTTCCACTGCTGGTCTTTAAAATCCACCCTCTTCCTTTTGTTTGTTTCTCTCTCTCTCTCTCTCTCTCTCTCTCTCTCTCTGTCACTAATTCGCCGGTTTCGCTGTTTTTTTAACTAATGGCGCAAAAGCCACTAATGCTCAAGGACTACCTTGAGCTCGACTCTTACTCGGAGGCATTCTGGTGGACTCCCATTCAGCATACGGCTGGCACCCGAGTACGCAGCCTCTTGGAAGCAGAGCTCAGTGGTGGTGCCGCCGACAAAGGCGGTTGGAAGCTTATTCGTCTCCGGTCCAAGGGCGCGCTTACAAGGCTCTCTGCTGTCATCAAGCTTCTGCAATCCTCCACGAACTTCAAGACCGCCGCATTCCCAACTGGTGGAGGCGGCCCGCCTCGTTTTCTCCCTAGAAATTTCTCGAAGGCACGAATACGAAGCTTCTGGAAAAGGAGCGGGAATGAGAAAAAGGATTTGAAGGTCATGTTGAAGGATGTTGTGCGGCTAACATCTTTTGACGAGGAGACAGTGGAGAGAGGGTCTTTGTTCAACCTATCACCGGGTATTAGTGGATATAGTAGCTCACATAAAATCCTCTCCTCCACCGCGAGCTCCAACTCCTTTGTAGACGGGAAGGAGTCGCTGCCCTTAAGCCCGAGAACAGAGAAGGGAATTTTCGCTGGCGGCGGCGAAAAATCTCTCCGGCCGTCCACGGGCAGCCAAGAACCAGAGGTGAGCCACGCCAACATTATTTATGATTATTCCGTGATCGTTAATATTTTAATTTTTTTTTTCTAAAGAATTATAAAATTTTATGCAAGTAATTCCTAATTGGTTCGTTAGGTGAGCAATTACTGGTGCCCTAGCTGGTCATCCATTTGTTAATTGATAGCTCTACAGTAGCAATTTTCCAATTAAGAAATCCCTTGCAATTGAGAGTTGGTTCACTAATTAAATAAGTTTCTATTTTATATTTTCTTAGTTTGTTTGAAAATATTGAAATGGGTACTTATTTTTATTGGATAACAAATTATAGTTGTGAATGAAAGGAAATATATATTTAAAGAATGCAGCATTTTTTTTTTTTTTTGAAGATGCTGTCTTCTAAGAAAAAAAAGTTAAATTTGTTGGAAATTACATGAATCATCTCACTGTACAAAAATTAATACAAATTCAAACATTAAGGTATTTATAGTTCAAATTATATATATATACACACATGCCACTTAAGTCTTATGTATTTTTATATACAGGCAATTCTTACATATTTGACACTATATTATGCATTGAAAGATGTATTTCAATTTTAAAAGACAAAATAGTGATATTTTTAATGTGATGTGAAAATTTTGGGTGGTATAAGTCTAAAGAAGTAAAGTTTTGTAGCTAGATATGTAAATAAATATGAATTAGGTGGTACGAATGTAATAAACGAACTGAAAAATAAGAATGTGCAAGCGTAATGCTGATCCGGTAATATATGCAAAATAATTTCGTATAATTTGTCTGAAGTCATGATGGACCGAATGAGTTAACTCATAGATGCAAGCCTTAGTCAACTTCGTTAATAAAGTACATAAAAAAAAAGGGAAAGTACCGAGTTCTTTCTTTTTTGGCGGAATTTAAAATTTTTTAATGAATTGTGAGTTAAGATATAAATTTAATGGTGAAAAATTTAAAACTGCGGATCTTTATAAATTTTAAATTATTTATGATGCATGCCTAAAAATTTGAATTTCCTCCTTTATCGGTCTAATGGTGCGGATCGTACCTCTGAGGGTACTGTTTACGATGTGCATGGAGAGAGAACAAGCTTCTTGTAAAAGAACTTTTACTTTATGTTTTTTTGCGTATGTAAAATTTAAACTTCGATTTTTTATGTATGTCATCTTATAAATATATATATATATATATATATATATTTATGGAAATGTGCTTTACTTTTTAAATGTCCGAATAGTGATTTTAGAGGTACAAATGCAAAAGATAAAATTTAGATGTTAGATATTTAAATACATATGAATTAGGTGGTATATATATATAAATGCCAATTTTTTTTAAAAAATAATTTATTGAAATTGAATTTAATTTAAAAATTAGGGCATTAACATATCTAATCCTAAACTTTACTTATTTTATTTATACCACTTAAATCGTTGATATCACATTTAAAATATCAACATTTTCACTTAAAAAAAAGTTAGGTACACCTTTTCACAGATAGGTAAGGTGTCATGTATGTAAAAATTTAAGTTTAGTTGTTGGATATGTAATACATTGGAACAGAGTGGTATGTATGTAAATCGTCTTATAAATTCATGTTTAGAATGTGTGAAGACTACTGGCTAACTCTTCACAAAATTTGCACCCCTATTTTTGTCTTTTAGAAGTTAATTGTTTGGAGACCACCGGGCACTGTCGGTGGGTGCACAAATAGCCTAACACTAGACGTGGTCCTTCGTTAACGTATTTACTAAATCATGAAACACTTAAAAGCTGATTAGCTTTTGAATAATATATTAACACTGGCCCTGCGTTAATTCTGCTGCCAAGTTACAAAGCCAAAAAACTCGGCCACGCCTGCTGCTTTTCCTTTGCTTTTACTGCGCTGACAGGCTAAGCTTACAGCACTGATATTTATCTTTAAATTCAAATTCTCATTGTTTAATTAATTAAAGCAGACCTTAATTCTATGATATAAGTAGGTCTGAGATTTTTTGTAGGAAGACCAAAAATGTCTAAAAAAATATATTATATTTTAATACGAATTAAATTTGAATTAAAGCAAAAACATAAAAGGTCGAGCCATTTGCCAAATACCTGGCTGGTTCAGTCTTTGAGCCGATTTTATATCTAGGTCTGAATCATTGGAAGCAGCTAGAGATGAAATAAGCTGCATAGTATGTTGATTAAAAATTTTCGTATTTTATGCTTTACTTTAGAGTTTGTATCATTAAATCTAAGTAACAAAAGAGAAAATTTCTAAGAAGTTTTATTAACTGGGTATGAACTATGAAAGGAGCAGGAAATTAGTGGGAAAGTAGACATGGACTGCCCATTCGAGGAAGAGAAGGAACAGTTCAGCCCCGTGTCCGTTATGGATTTCCCGTATCGAGACGAGGACGAAAACGACGCAGTCGTGGAGCAGCCTTCGCTCAACTCATCTTCCTTCGACCAGAGCATCATCAACATCGAGAGTACGCCCCTTCTCTCTCTCTCTCTCTCTCATTCCCTGCTCTATTGGTTCTGGTTCATGTATTTCCCTAGAATCTCCACTCGACGTCCTATTGTCGAACCCACGTTCTATTTTGTCGTTTTCTGCTTGATAGACCCGTGCTTCCAACTTATCCGAACCATTGTTATCGCCTAATTGTTTTATTTGCAAATAACCCCACTTAAAGGTAGTATTCTTATTTCTAAATGTAATGTTGATGTGATTTAGCGAATCTAGGATCACTCTTAATCTGTTAAATTGGATTTTATGCTTTTATATATATTGATAAATCTATAAATATGCCACTATGTCAAAGTTATATTTCATTTTTAAAAGTTAAAATAGTAATATAGATTTAATGTTCAATATTACATTGGAATTCAGTGACATATATAAATTCCACTAAATACTGTTTAAAACATTATTTATTATTTAATATTTTAAATATTATTATGGATTGTTAATAGGTAATAAAAATGACATATGCACATAATTTACAAAATGAATATTAGTTTAGCGTATAAGCATATTCTGAGTTGCGCTCATTTAAAACATTATTTAAAAACAAGGGCTTTTTACATGCAGCTCGTGGTTTCGAAACAATAAGATTACACTTTGAAACAGTAATATTACACATAGAGACACTATTACAACAGTGTTTTTGAGAGGAGCAGCAATGGAGGTTACCGAGGAGCAAATAGCCATCGAGGTTACCGAGGAGCAAAGATGAGCGCCACTCATCAAGTGGGCCCACATCGGTACTCAATGGGGCTCACATCCGGTCTCCGGACTTAATTTTCATTTAGGGTTTAATAGTAGAGCGCCACTATTAGACTTCGAATCCATGTGAAGTTCTCACAATTTTTTCATTGAGTGAGGTAGACACGGGGCATTGAGAAGAGACGGAGGCCCATGATTGTGGCGAGTGCGAAGAAGAGAAGAGATACAATAGGGAAGGTGGCATATTCACAGAAACGACTTAGCGGAGGAGAAAGATGAGCAAATCTCAAAAACGGCATCATAATAGTGTCTTCTTTGTGTAATATTACTGTTTCAGAGGTGCGCTCTTTAAATTTAAAAACTCTAAAAAATTATTTATCTGTAATGATATAATTACCCAAGGTCCAACAAAAGTTTCTGCTCAATGCACATTTTAACTTTATGAAAATTTATTAAGCGTGAAATTTTGGATAATTTCGAAACTTTCGTTGTGAATTTTGAAACAAATCCATTACTTTATGAGTTGGCCAGCGAAATTTTGAAATTTCAATATATTATACTCGGAAAAATGCTTTACAATAATGAAAATAGTTGTTGACCATTTAAATTTTCTGAAGCGTTTTTACATTTTTAATTTCTTTCTTATTCTCATTATTTTGATTTTTGATTGAGGTTGAGCTCTGAATTCTACACCTAACATCAACATTTTATATTATACCTTCGAATTCTTATATATTTATAAATCTAACTCCAATCATTTATTTTATGTTTTACAATTATATCACCGAAATCTTTTATATCAAATTATAAATATCATTATTTTAATTTTAAAAAATAAATACACGTATTTCATATATATATATATATATATATATATATGTATGTATATATATGTATGTATTTATTTCCCTAAGTTTGATGGGAGATAATACATAAATAGAATTATTGATATATATTTCTAAATCGTTCAAAAAATGTAAATATAAAAAAAAACGTGAAAAATAAATGCCGACCCGTTGCTTTCTTTCTGATGATGAGCAGGAGCAAAGAATCAACTCCTTGAGAAGATCCGACGGTTTGAAAGCCTCGCTTTGGACTCCGTGGACCTGGACTACCACTTTGCGTGTACCGCTGCCCATGTCGAGACAACCGTCCGTGTCGAAACAGACGAGGAAAAAGAGGGATATTTGAACGACGACCAGTGGCGGCGGGGTCGTACGGCTTCCTCTCTCCTTCGCCGGCTTCCTGTCAACGATTCTCGTCCAGTATACGGCCAGAGGCTTCTTTTTGACTTCTTCGTCGAGGGGCTGTCGTTGGCCGAGGAGTGTCTGCTGGAGACGAAGAGTGGATACGGCATTAATGAGGAGCTTTTGAAGCTGGCGAGCGGTTGGGTCTCTGGCGGGGAAATCTTGGCGGAGTACAAAGGCGAGACGGTGGTTAGGGAGATGGAAAGGAGCGGTGGAGAATGGAGACGCTTCCAGAAGGAAAAGGAGATCCTGATCATAGATATGACGAAGGGTGTGGTAACTTGGTTAATGGAGGAGCTAGTGGATGACTTACTTTCGTGACTTGATAAGTTGTGAAGTAATTATCCCAACAAATGAAGCTCCTTCTTATCAATATTGTACTTGGAAAATGAATGAGGATGCTCCATGGGTACATCTCGTACAATATTTATTGTTTAAATTTTTATTGTTCTTGTGTATATAATGCATGGAAAAAAAATAAACGGAGAAATTTTTATCAAATTCTAATAATAATAATTTTTTAATTTTGCTCTGAGAAGTTTTTTTAACAATTATTTATATATTATATTTATGTAAATCGACTTGTATAAATTATTTTCAATTATAGTTCGATATATTGACTTAATTTTTCTCTAATTACGACTGAATCCAATTTTCATGATGTCAATTATTTCTATAACTAAAGAAAATCTAAATCTGATAAAGCTGATTATAAGCGAATCCTCATCATACGTACATTATAAATTAATGTTTCACATTAACATGCCATATTTATATGTGTTATGCTTCAAAATTTTTCAGGATAATCAACTGATATATGGTGCAATGAATTCAAATGCTTCCCTTCTCTTTCAAAGAATTTCAACAATAAGGAAAAGCTCCATTTGCATAAACAGGTTAAAGTAAAAGCACTGTTGGTTAAGGTTTGATCATTTATAACAGCTAAAACATAAATTGTGATTAGAGCTATAAATTAGATTTGAACTGTCAAAGATAATATATATATAAATATACATACATATATATATATATAATAATATAATATATAAAATATAATATAGATATGTATATAATATATTGGTATCCAGTTTGTCTCATAAGGAGGGACCAACATACTTTTTTGCACCCCTTTGTTAAACGTGAAAATTTGCATCCAGCCCTTTCGTCAATAGGACAATTTTTAGTCTAGAGAGATGATTTTTGTGGTACGTAGGAGATAAAAGAGGATTGTATAAAAAAATTGTTAGAATTTTTAAGTGGAAAATTTATAAAGAAAAGAACTAGGGGCCTTGATTTAGATAGAGGTCTCAATCATTTTAGATGAATAGAGATCATATAAGTTTTTAGTCTTACACCTTTTGAGATTTTTAATTGAATTACAAACTTAAGTAATTTGAGATTTAAGCTTTTTTGATTTGGAAATAAACAGAGAATTCAATAAAAAAGGTTAAAATAAATTCTCAATTTGAATAATGATTAAATATATATATATCAACGCTAAACTCTTATGAGATTTTTAAATAATTTAAATACAAATATCTTCCAATGTGTCGTTTATTATTTAAACTAATTTTAGAGAATTTGTATCTTATGAAATTTAATTTTTTTTTCTTTGAACACACACATAGATATATATAATAAAAAGTGAAACTTTTAAACCAAATACTAAAGGGAAAAAATAGAAACAGTTAAAGAAAATAAATTAGATTTATAACCCTTCGTGGAAATGATTGTCATATAAACCACTGAATCACATTAAAATCATGCATGGCTAGTATTAATGAATGTATGATGCGATAAAAAAAGTTGGTCTTATAATTTGATTATAGAAATTAGGCTGTCAAAGTATGAATGATATGCACAGTTTCTTAAGACTAATGCAAACATTTTTCTTGTAATTTAAACTTTAAAGTATAAAAGCTCACCACACTTAGGTATTTTTATTATTTTTTTTTAAATCTAGTGCCGACTAACCAGAGCAAGCTGTGTAGTGGTATACATGTCATTGATGATGAATGTTCAAAAGATTTGTTCAAAAGGCAAAATGATATGCAGAGAAAGACTATTATATAAGGGGGTGATCCTCAAAAAACAAATTACCCATTTCCATGCAATGAGTAAGGACCTGAATACAATGAATGGATACAATATAAAATTCATATGCCCAAGATGATCTTTCAATGACTTCCTAAATCACAAAGTTATTTATATTGATATTTATTTAACGTCAAATTCATTATTTTGGAATGCTTGCTGTTTTTAAGGTATGAATGTAATGCTTCTCTATATTAGTTTTGGTTATGAACTTTTTTTAATTTTTGGAAAGTTATGTTGAATTTGTTTATTTTGGAGCAAAAAACTTTGTTCTTAATGAGTTTAACGATAATCCAAGAAAAAAGAGAAACAAAAAATTTATCTAAAATTTTGCTTAGTCCTATTAAGTACTAAAAATAAAATAATAAAGAAGATATAATGGGCTCCAATCCTAAACCTACACTAGACTCATTGGTCAAAAATGTTATATTATCATTACTATTGGTTTAGTTGAGATTCATCTGTCACTTTATGTTCATTTTCTCTTATATGGTTCAGATTTCAATAGCTGACCAACTGTTATGGTCACCTTAAATCTAGAAATTAATTGGAAACTACAAGAAAAGAAAACTTACATCAACAATGGCTTCCTAGGTTTATTTTAATAGCCCTAAAAAATAAGGTTAGTACATCCTAAGCTTACAATCACAGCCTAAAAATATGTAAAAAAAACTACAATATCCTATTTTAACATGCCAAGAAGATACACTTCACAAAGAAAATAAATATAATTTATTTGTCATAAACTAGTGTATAACAAGCAAATAGGCACCAAGCACGAAGCAGAAGACAACCGAATGACCTCATCCATCCTAAACCTAAAGCTGAGGTTAAAGCCATGTGATATATAAAAGGTAGATTATAAAGTGGAGAAAACGTTGACAAAACCCTGTCAAGATCTCATGGTTCTATTATTTCAAGTTGTCAGTGGTCCCTAATCAACTTAGTCAGCACAATATGATTGAAATATTCTTGTAAGTAATAATAAGTTATGTTGACTAAGAGATATTTATAGATCCAGGGAGGATTATTTGTTTATCCGACGGTGGAGCTCCATGGGTCGTTGTCATGTCATTTTTTTGGTGTTGTTGTTTTGAAAAGAGTCGTCACTCTGGTTATTTATTCTATTGCTCTAATCTCCAAGTAACTTATTCTTTTGAATCATGTAAGAGATTCCCAGATGTTAAGAAACTAGGAGAAGAAGGAAAAGGGCTAAAAATAGAAAACACGAGAGAAAGAAATGTAAGGATGATTTTCATTATGGTAGAAATTATAGAGAAAATGATTTCTCGTATAAGGAAAACCACATGAAGAATTTGATAACCAAATATTTAGGTATATCACCTATTTTGAGTTCTTCATTCTCTTATAGAAGAAATTTCCTATAGTTAATTACATCTTATACAATCAAAACTGTCTAAGAGAACTTCTGATTAACGTTAACACTTGTTCTTCTAAGAAATATCGATGTTAAGAAAAGAAACATCAAATGTTTATTCCTGGGGTAATTGATTTCTAAGAATCTGATTCTACTATAAAGGTTTTGTTTTGTTTTGCTTGTTCATGTTGTTTTGTTCTAATTTTGTTTTATGTTTTGTTGTTGTCATTTTGTTTAGAGGTTTTGTTATTTTGTTACCATGTTTTGTTATCGTTGTTTTGTTTTGTTTTATTTTATGTCATGCATGTCATTATGTTGTTATTTTTTTGTCAGTTTGTTTTTGTTATTTGTCTTGAGGTTTATCTTTTCTTGCTTCAGAAAGTTTCCCTGTAAAACAAAGTTAGCACACCATATAACATGCAAAATAAATCTAAAGCGTAATTTGTTTTGTCTCCAATAAACCTACAAAACAAAACTTTTTTAACATGAAATCTTGTTTAAATTTATCATATTAGTTGGTTGAATAATTTTTAAAAGACCCAGTCAAGTTGTTTATGGCTCCTTCATCCCGAGGCCGTAAAGTGTTCAAATCTACTTAGTCCAAAAGGTGTTTAAACCAGGACAGGAAGATTCTTTTCAGCAACCACATATTGTGTCGTTCAAGAAATCTTCGTAAATCTGAACACATCTGTTCAAGTTGCGTTCGGTGATCTTTTTTCATTAGGGTTGTATTTAAGTTTTAATGTCTTTTTTAGGATTTTAGGGGTTAGAAAATTTTAGGTTGTTTACGATTTATTAATCGATTGATTTTTTTCATTTTGTCATTTATTTTTATTTGGGATGACTTGATCAAGATCCCATGGTTCCATCGTCCTGGGTCAATATGTTTGTGGTTTTATTAGCCACAAGTAGCTGGAAGATATTTTATTTGAAACCATGGTTTACTTCATACAAAATATCTTCTCAAACCTAGTTGCATTTTTAGGTTCTAGTATAGGGTTTAATTTCTTTTAAAGTGAATTTATGTCATTTATGTTTATTTCTGTGAGTTGGATTTTTTATGATGTCATTTATTTTAGGTCTGATGTCGATTAGACCTAAAAGATGTTTGATTAAGGTCCAGTATATTGGACATAATGTCTAGGGTTAATATTGATAAAACGTAAGGATTTATGTCTTCTAGATTCAATTAGATAGAACCTAAGGTATAGAGATGATTTAAGTTCAATGTAGGTAGAACCTAAAGCTTAAGATGGTTTAAGTCCAATGTAGGTGGGTGATGTAGGTAGGCTTAGTATTTTAATTTTGCAAATATTTTTCAATAATACAAAATACCCACGACAGATAAAATAGTGAATATGCAAATTAATCCTAATAAAATAACTTCAGTTAAAATATTTTTATATTTTAAAAATATTTAAACTGTCAAATCTCCTTTAAAAATAATGCAAGTATATGTATCACTAAAGTAAAAAAGGGCTCTAATGAAGTCTTAGATATCGATCCCACAGAGAAGTTGGAAATATCTATAAGTAAAATCTTAAGATTATAATGTAAAGCACAGTTTTCAAACTACAAAAGTAAAGTGTGAAATTTGAATAATATGTAACTAATTAATATGCAGTTGAAAAACAAAGTTAATTAAACTAAATCCTAAACTTTTAAAAGTAAATTTACGAAACTTAAACTAAGGTTTTGTGACGAAAAGTTCAAATATAAGAAAGCATCATTCCCCTTTACAATGCGTATATGGATCGTGAATAACTTAAAATCATTTGAAAAAAATATATAAAAACTGTTTTGTGCCAAATAGGAGCAATCCTATTCCTTACCCTCTTCCAAGTGCATAAAGAACATTGACTAATCTAGAGTCTGGTTGTTAATTTCATGGTTAGGATGGGAGGATAACGACTGCCACTCTAGAGCTCCCACTGCTCCCTCACCTGAGGGCTAACAATCTCCCATCAGTTACCAAATTAATTGGACCAAATTGGGGATTTCAATCTGTCA